AAAAAAAAAAAGAAAAAGAAAAAGAAAAAAGTTTTCTAAAGACACAAATAGTAGCCAAGTGGCTTCTTCCTCAACTTTTAGACATAATAAAATTATGTCAAAAAGTCACAACTACTTGAATCTGAAACACTTACTACAGTTTTTTTAACATATGATATCTCTATAAGTAGATTATGCATGCATGTTAATTAAGAAAAATGGTTTATTTCTGCATTTCCGGTCATGTTGCTAAACCGTTCAGAAAGAGGATCTCTGAATTATATAATATGGTAATTTTCATTTTAAATACAAATTATTTTTTGTAAAATTTACTCAATACTCGAGTGTCATATATTTAGAAAATAAAACAACTGTCTCACCCTCCTACATAATAGTCTCCTCTATGCTAAGTGGGCTTTTATTAGCAGTGTGGAGTTGGGGGCATCAGTAGGCCTGGGCCAGGTTCAAACCCACCAGCCCTGGAACATGTGGCCATTGCCCTGACCACTGAGCGACAGGTACCCCGCCTCTTCATTCAAGTTTTGATGCTAAAAGCCACCTCTCAGTCTTAGGTACAATATGAGCAGCTGAAGTTTACAGAGAAGATACTGTAAATCTTCTAGGTTCAGAACTAAGCAAATCAATGATTGATTTTACCAGGCTCTGGGTAAAGGGGATTAGGGCTGACATTACAGTAATCATGTCAGTGTATTATAGGTATTGCAATAAAATTTCATCCTTTGGCCCAAACTACGATACTCAAATTCAGCAAAAAGACAACTTTTTAAGAGTCTTTCCTATGTGCCTAGTGCTGAGAATACAGTGAGGAATGAGATGATGTTCTTGGCCTTTTAGACGAGTGCCAGGCTGCAGGTTTCCTCTGTGCCATCTTCTTACCTGTATCCAGTCACTGCACTTAAAACGTCATGGCCCTCAGAGAGAAGTCACTCATACAATTACTGAATGAGGAAATAAATGAGTGAATTTTTCTAACTTTTTATCTGACATTGAACATGTGATCATTTTTTCCTAAAATATACGAAAAAAGGATAAATAGTTCTGATGCTTTTTTTTAAACAGGGGAGACTATATTTTTGATAATGTATCATGTTCCTTTTTACATAAGACAGAGAAGCAAGGCTTCAGACATTAAGCTATCGCTTTACTTAGCAAAATTATTCCTGGGTTTGACAAAACTTGCCAAACCTAGAAGAGTTTCATTTATAAATGTCTTTATATGACAAGTTAAAACAGAAAAGACATTTTTAGTTCTCGATGACATTTCATATAAATTATTTCATTTTGTGTGATGAATCTAATTGTTTAAAACAACACAAGAAAACAAGCGCTTCCACTAGGCTGGCACTGGTGACCGAAACCAAGTTCCACTGGAGTTGGAGCTAAGCAGTGCAGAACTGGCAAGACAGCGACAGCAGAGGGACGAGAGAAAACGGGAAAGCTGGCAAAGAAAGAACGCACCACTATGTTCTGCCACAAACAGGGGCAGGAAGAATCACAAGCAGCGAGGGAACCGATATCACTGATGGGGAGAAATGGGAAAGAGAATCAAGGAGGATCACTGGGCCCACACAGCACCTGGAGGCGTGGAGGGCAGCAGGCTACGTGGTTGCCAGTGCATGAAAAAGGTATTTATGAGTTTGTAGTTACTAAGAAACTGTATCCTCTGTTCACAAAAGGAAGAAAGCATAGGAATATTTCAAACACAATTCTAGTACAAGTAGCAAAGTATGACAGCACAGAGCCCCCTGAAAGGCCAAGAACATCACCTGATTCCTGTGTTCTCAGCACTAGGCACATAGGAAAGACTCTCAATAAAGTTTTACTGAAAGCACAAGAACATAAAACATTATATGTCTGCATTTAAAATTAAAACAAAATTCAGAATTCAAATTAAAAAAATTTAAAAACAATTTTTAGATTAAAAATTATGTTTACACGTATAAGCAGACCCACTATTACCTGGATATTTTGCTTAGCCTCGTTAAGGTACTAAGAAGATACCAAGGATTAGTGATTGTTAGTTCTTAAACCTTAAAAACCTCTTTTCCTGACAGAATTAGATAGATTTTGTTAAAGTGTACTTCCCAGACTAGAGAGGGGAATAACTATTCAGGACGTAAACACTGACCAATCTGTTCAGCATTATGATAGGAAAGTAAGTTAGTTTTGTTAAACATACACAGCATGGCCATAAAGTTGTACCCGAACTTTATGACCATCCTGTATATGTAGCTTTGGGGAGTCTTAAAACTGTTGAACTTAACAGACTTTTAACAGAATTTAACAGAAATGTCTTAAATTTCTTAACAGAATTTTAAGAAAAGGAATCATTATGACATGAATCAACTTCCATGAAAAGACAACTTTTAACTTTAAATACATGTCATTTCCACTGGTAGCTATTATCCAGTAAGAATACTGACTTGTACATATTCTTCTCAGTAAAGTATCTCGAGAATGGAAAAAAAAAGTATTCAAGGTACCTGATACTATTATGAAACCAATATACAAACACTTACACATTTATACGAATGATAAAACACAAAAAGTCCAGAGAGAAGGAGGGAGGAGGGAGGAGAGGGGAGGAGGGGGAGAGTGGGTGGAGGGAGGTATCTGGCAGGATCTCACCTGATGTGCACAGTGCGAGGGAACGCTTCAAAACAACTTAGAGTATCATAAATGTCTTACCGTAAAAAACGAGTGAGGTGATGGTTATGTTAATTAGTTTGATTTAAGCATTCCCTGTTATATATCAAATCATCACAATGTACCCCATAAATGAATACAGTTATGATTTAATAAAAATTAAGTTAAAAGAGGAAATACTATTGGCTTGTGTTGTTTTAGGAGAGAATACTGCATTTAGCTGTAATACACAACATTAAGTCAACGGTTAATCCCCCCCTTAAAATGTTCTACAGGGTGGGGAGACACAACCTGCACTCTGATTCTTCTTTACAATTTATACCTAAAAAGATAAAATTTCACCATATAGCTTTTACCTATAAGGTCAACTTCACTATAGGCATGAAAAGAGGCAGTCAGATAATAGTAACCTTTTGATATTACAGCTAGATTTGAGGATGGCTGGGACCTCTAGTTTGGTATCCCCTACCCCTACCCACTGCCAGGGATCTGGTTAAAATAAATAACAGAATAAATACTGGGTCAAGTGCTTTACTATTGGCTCTATCAAGAAAAAAAAACCTTTTTCTTTCTTTAACAACTCTTGAAGTTGTGGTAAAATATATATAGTGTAGAATTGCCATTTTAAGTGTATAATTCAAGGGCATTATTACAATCAAAATATTGTGCAACTATCATCCTATCTACTTCTGGAATTTTTTATCACCCCAGATAGGAGCTCTGTACTCATGAAGCAATATTAAATAATTTTGTGCATAAAAAATTAAAGAGAAAAATTACAGTTCTAATGATAATGCTGAGTTAGAAAACGGTGGGTATGAACGGACTTAAAAGATAACTTGGAAATACATACAAGGCAAAGAAAAAGAAAGGCAGGAAGTATCTTTATTTTCAGAGGAGGAAACAGTCTTAGGTAAAAAGTAACTCCATGAGGCTGGTAACCAGCTGGTAGGATTATACTGGAACTAAGGCCATCAGATTCTGCTCTTTGCTCCAGACCAAGTCACCCTTGTCAGGGGACCATAGTTTTGGTACGGCTTTTATCTTTTTTTTCCCCAGACTTTTGATTGTATTATCAAACAAACAGAATGGTCATTTTTCCTTGATTTTTTTTCAACTTAATAGCTTAAAAATGAATCCAGTACCCCCTAGTGTTACATTCTGAAATGTTTCTTAGAGAATTTTAAAAATATATTAACAAGAGGAAGAAACAGTGAGTATAGCCTATATTTTATTTTCTAGAGATGTGAGAAGAAAAATGAGATTTCCTTATTGGAATACAACTAATCTTGTCTTGCTAATTTCTGAGACTGTCAAAAATCAGGACTATTTAAAAAAAATGGTTATGTATAATAATGCTTACTATATCTGGAGACACGCAATATAATCTCCTGAAATAAAAACTTTCTAATGATTAGAAGTCACTTTATTCAATAGGTATACCTTTAAAAATTAGTGATAATTAAAATGCTATACTAACTAAAAATTTCCCTTATGCTTGAGACTAGGGAAATCTTAAAAAAACAAGGCCAGATTTAGTATATAAATTAGTTTTTAAAATTTTACTTCATCTCTAATTTACCTCTGCAATCTCTATCCTTTTGGCAAGATCATCAAGAGAAAGACAACTGTCATCAGAAGGCAGATTCTCCTGTAGACTGTAGGATGCTTCTTCGGGAGAAAGATCTTGAAGGAGATCAGAATCTTCCTCTTCGTACAAGAGAGAATCTTCGGTATCCTTTAAGCATCCTTCCAGCAGGCTGTTCAAGTAGTCTTCTGTCTCTTTACTGAGTTGCTCGTCCTTATCTCCCTTTTCCTCTGGGGCCATATACACCTCTGGACGCGGTGTACTTAAGTCAGATATTTTATTATTTTCACAAAGTACATTCTCAGAAGCCTCTGAGTCAGCCTGCCCCCGTAGTGATTTTCCATCACTGTCTGTAAGATCAGGCTGCCGCAGCTCATTTAATTCACTGTTCTCAAGTTGGTCTGTGGGCAACGCCTCAGAAGCATCCTGAAGTGGCAAGCGGAGTTCTTTTCTTTGAGCCTGTGGATTTTTACCTTCAGGAATCGATGTGGGAAGTATGTGATCACAGCCTGGTAAAATCAATGGTTCTGTCACTGACCCACTGGAAGGCAATCCCTTAGGGTTCTCGGCAATGCCCTCTATTTTGGCTAAATTCTGGCAGGTCTCTGTTTGAGCTGGCGGCAAGTGGCTGTCATCATCACAAGCATTCTCGGAAGAGCCTGGCCCAGACCCGCTCCCAGCCACCGTCTCTGAGGACTGGGCGTGGAGCTCCGGGGTGGCCTCAGTGCTGCGGAGCAGCTCCGCCGTGTGGTCCGTCCCTGCAGTGACCGCAGGGCTTGGGGAAGCTGCCTGTCCCTCCATCTGATTACAGGAGGGACTGTCCCCCGGGGGCTCTTCTTTATGTTGGCTTTCTCTGCTTGGTTCTGTGCCAAGACAAGATTCACTCTCTAAAGACAAAGAGAAATAAGTTGTTTAAAATTCACAAAAACACTCTGCATAGGAGGGAGGAGAAGGACATGAGAATAGTATGTGTAATACAACAATATTCTAACCATCTTAAATGGAAATTCTATCTGTGGTATGAGTGTCTTTAGATAGGGAAAATACTTGAAATACCTGTATATAGTAAATAATCCTTTATATATAACAGAGATTATTCAAATGCATATTAGTATGAATAAATAATTTAGTCCTCATTAAATGAGTCATTATTCAAAGTTTTAAAAGATAGTCTTAACTTCACTGGCCTTATACATTTAAATAAATATATCTATCGATCTTTTACAATCAAATGAAGTTAGAAAAATTATTTTCAATATATTCAAGACATAGCATATTAAGTAAATATTTTTACATAATTAACCTTAGCCATACATTTATAATTTAAAATGTGAGAAAATTAATATTGATCTGGTCTACCAAGACTAAAGAACTATAAGTCTATAATACCCTTAATAAATGTACCTGCAAATTACTCAAAGGATAGCAATAAAAAGAAAATATTTTGGCAAAAGGTAGAAATGGGTTTGAATATTGTTATCTTTGTCCATTTGTACTTCAAATAAAAATCAACTTAAATATTTTTCTTTCATTTCAAAAGTAAATAATTTAAATCCTTTATGTAAATAATGAATGGGAATTGAACAGGTTGCTAGATAACTAAGAAGCTTGCTCACCCTCAGTTATTGGTACAATCAGTATTCCCATCTTAGAAGTTGTACCTTTTTTTTTTTTTTAAGAGACAGAGTCTCATTTTGTTGCCTTTGGTAGAGTGCCATGCCATCACAGCTCACAGCACCCTCTAGCTCTTGGGCTTAAGTGATTATCTTGCCTCAGCCTCCCGAGTAGCTGGGACTACAGGCGCCTGCCACAATGCCTGGCTATTTTTTTGTTGCAGTTTGGCTGGGGCTGGTTCAAACTCGCCACCCTTGGTATATGGGGCTGGCACCCTACTCACCAAGCCACAAGCACTGCCCAGAAGTTATACCTTTTTAATAGCCATCTATTATTAAATTTATACAAATAATGGCCCAAAGGTGAAAATAAAAGATAAAAATATTATAATTTTATTCCATTTGGTTTATCATTTATTGGTACTTTAATGATCAGGAACTGACAATTGAGGACTACACCAAACCAAAGAAAAGGCATTACTTAAAATGCCATCTTTAGATTTTAGAGAATCGGAGACTGAGGCTGACCGCTTCAACTGGACTGCTGAGAGAGGGAGCTGTTTGAAGTACCTCCCCCAATACCCTGACTCAAACATCAGAAGGGGGTCAGGAAAGAAAGAAGAAAAGGTACAGCATTCCTTCCCTTTTCCTACCCTAAATCAAAGTTTGGGAGACTGCAAGAAAACATCTGGACATTTCACTCCCCACAGGTTGTCTGCTTTGCCCTGAGGTTTCTGACCTGCCCTGCTATGAAGGTTAGAGCAATGAGGGCCACAGCAAGGTGGGAAGGGGGCCAGGCCGCTCCTCCACAAGTTCCCAGTAACCACAGGTTCAGCAGATGGTCCTTAGACACGTCCCCTGGATTCACAGACCAATGAGAGTGAGGACTATGGTACCACAGGTACTGTTAAGGCACAGGGCAGAGAGAGCCCCACATCAGTAGAATGGGGTACGCTGGGCCAGCTGAGGGTCAGTTCCCTAAAGGACTACAAACATCCAGAATAGGGTGTTTCTCCTCCTCAGCTGGCCCAGCACAGAGCAGCCTAGGCTGAGTCACAAGCACTAATCCAGCAACTCCAACTGCAAGCACAGTATGTTCCCAGCCTCTAGCAAGGCAGATAGAGAAGGGCTTTGAACAGAATGAGATTTAAGTGTTAAAATGAGGTCTGGAGTTCAGTAACACTTAAGTCCTAAAGAATCAAAATTAGACTACTTAATAGCTGCCAGTGAACTAAAAGTTACAGACTCAGTCTGATAAGCCATTACAGGAGTGGCAAGTGCGGTAGCTGACTGCAGTTACTAGACAAAATACAACACATTAGGCTTGGTGCCTGTGGCTCAAGCGGCTAA